CCCGCCCCCCACTGCCCCCCGTCTCGAAAGCGCTCAGCTTTCATTAAAGGTATTTATATTTGTACCAAGCTCCTTCCTTTCTTTCCACTGCGGCCCACCTGGCTGGGGTGGAGGCCTCAAGAAGCTGATCCCCAGGACGAGATGGGCAGGCTGAAGACCACCATAGGGGACTCAGTCTTTCTCTTCACAAATACTCATTTCCCAGGGGCAGTGCAGAGCTTTCCATTGCCAGCAGGTTCCAAGACTTCTGGTGGTGACCCAAGATGTGTGGGAATGCACATCTTTCTCTGTTCTCCTGGGCTGGCATTCCTAGCCCTACCTGCCCCTCCTGTCCTGGCCCCTAGGGGCCATGTGAGGTGATAGAGTGTCCGCACCCCCACCCTCAGCCAGTCCACCCCCCTCCCCAGGTTCTTCCCAGTTTCCAGGCTCCTGTCCATCTCACCTCCTCCTCCCTCTGCTGAACTACCACCTTAGCCTTCAAGACACAGTTCAGATTAAGTACCCTTTCCTCTCCTTCTCTGGGGTCCTGATTCATCTGAGGGGAGCCTGTTCCAGAAGGTGGGGAGCCCCCACTGGAGTCTACATTCAAGTACCTGAGGTGACCTGGAGCTGCAGAAGTTGGGGTCACAATGAGGGTTCCTCTGGCCTTACGCTCTCCACAACCTTGTTCTTTGAGAAGAGGTGTGCAGTGTGAGGTCAGAACAATCCCAGAAGGCTTTCTGGAAGCACAGAGGAGCCCCAGTTCATCATGGTGGAGAAGAAGAGCAAGAATCACAACGGGCAGAATCCTGAGGGAAGGAGGAGGCCTCAGAGAGGGTGAGACCCTCTATTGATCAGTCATCTACTGTCCCTGCCAGGACCCTCTTCCAAGCCATCACCCCACGACTTGTGTGGGCACTGCCATGGCCTCCTCACTGGCTTCTACTCTCACTCCCTCCACTTTATTCTCCATTTTCTAAATTGAAAAACTGATCCTGATATTAAACTCCTTTTCATTGTCTATAAGGCCCTATGTAAGCCAGCTATGTTTATATATAGGACATTTTATTCAGTCTATTCCTTCAACTCCCCCTCTGTAGTAGCACGGAGGAGTGATCTACCTACTCAGTCCTTGGGTTAAGGGGAGGTTTCAGAGAAGGACCATGATAGAGGGTGATAGGAGGTAAGGATACAAGACTTACAAATGGTAGAGGAGAACTGGGGCTGAGTTGGAGAGGGCTTTACAAGAGGGGCCCAGGCAATCAGCTGGGAGGGAGGAGGGGTGGGAGTCCAGAACTTGGCAGGCCAGGTTTGCACTAAAGCCCATGCTGGGAGGTTGTTGGCCCTAGGACAGAATCAGGCCTGATAGGACCCTTGACTAGGCTCCAGGGTGACAGGTGCCTCCAGAGACCTCCACCCTACTTTATCATGTAGGAGCCCTACTTCAGCAACGCTTCCCAAACACCCTCCCATTCCAGTTAGCTCAGATGCCTCAGTTAACTCGCTCTCTGCCCTGTCTTTCCTCCTGTACTTCATTCACCTGTATTTTTATCCCCACTTCTCTCTCTCTCAGCCATTCCTTACCCATCTCACATCACCTGAAGGAGAAGGTTCAGGAAAAAAACCCTCCCAGATCCACCCCCTTTGACCACCAGTATCTTCCAGAAGGAAAGGCCAGCCTTTTATTCTTTGTACATCTATTCTCTGTGCTCAGAATAACCTTCCTCATTTCCTCCTGGTGAACTCCTACTTCTTGTTCAGTATCATCTACCGCCTCCCTAACCCTGACTCCAAGCTGAATCAGAAGCCTCCTTCAGGTCCACACAGCTCCTGGGCTTTCTTCTGTCTCTGTACGGATAACACTGGTTCACTGGCTTCTTACTGTCTGGGTCTAGGTCAGAATTCCCCACTCTGGATTCCCCAAGTGTCCTCTTTGTGTCTCTAGCACCCAGCCTAAGGCTGGGTATAAAGAGTGTACTTGTGGGAGTGCGTGGAATGAAAAACAGAATTGCTAAATCCTGCATAGGAAGTGTTACAGTCAGCAAAAGCTTGGACTGAAAATGACTTCAGTATGGAGGATGTGTCTTCTTGGGGCAGCCCTCTTAACCTGAGCATACTATTTGGAGGGATGGTGCTGGGGCTCCAAACCCCAAAAGTCTTCCTAGAGCCACTCTTACTCTTGGTGGGTGGCCAGGAGCAGGCTGCTTCCAGGAGCAGGGGCTCCATTGTGTTGGCCAGCCATCAAAGGGATTACCATCCTCCTGCCGTGACCTACTTTCCCCTGGTTTTTGCCCCCTAAGTCCCTGCTCTTCCCTGCAATTGAGTGACCTGGAGTGTGTGCAGGGGGGTGGGGTTGGGGACAGAATCTGCTCTCTGGCCAGGGGCTTAAGAGCTTTGTGTGTTTTATTCCAGAGCTGCAGGAAAGGGGTGGGCTGAGAGCCAAGCGGGCTGGGCCCTAGACACAGCGGCCCAGGCCAGAGCATCATGATAATGGTGCTTCTCATGTTTGCAGCTCTGCAGACATGGAACAGCTTATTGTTCAGGGGAGAATCTGGGGGTTGGATATCCTGAGCCCAGTCCCCTCCGCATCAATATACCTCTTCATCTCAGGGCCCCTGTGTTCTTCACCAGAGCCCAGGCCAGCACCTTCCATAGCAAGGGCTCAATAAATATTTATTGAATTAATTTGCTGAATGTCTGTAAAATAGAGGTGTTGTGTGGATTTCTAAGCCCCATCAACCCTGGAATTCTATATTATTTTCAACCCTCACAATAACTGTGAGGTCAAGACTATGATCCCCATTATACAGATACGAAACATGAAGCTTAAGGAGGGGAAGATGTCTTGCTTAAGTTCAGTTCACACAACTGTGGAAGTATCAGAGCTGGGATATGATCCCAAGTTTGCTTGGCCCCTAAGTTCATTCTCTTAAGCATCACACTAGACATATGGAAATAATTTTTTAAGTTTTCTTTTTTCTTTTTATTTCTTTTATTTTTGGCTGAGTGGCCTGTGGGATTTTAGTTCCCTGACCAGGGATTGAACCCACACCCCCTTGCAGTGGAAGCATGAAGTCTTAACCACTGGACCACCAGAGAAGTCCCTAAAGTTTTCTTTTTTAATAAAATCTTTTATGAAGCCCTACTACATAAAACAGACTGTGATATTTTATTGGTGTTAATATATGTTTAGGTTTAAAGTATAACATTAGCTTATACAGTTAAAGACAATTCCATGTATGAAGTAAGGGCTCAATAAAGATTTTAAGAAATGAACAGACTGCAGTGAAGAAGATGTATGGAGATTACAATCCCATCATCACTCAAAAGTAGTTGTGGCCGGGGGGTTATGGTGATGGACTAGATAATCCATTGGGGTTTCCCTGCGCAGGTTCAAATCCTGCCGAACTATGCCACCTTTCCCTTATGGTGATCCCTATTGAGTCACAGCCAGTTGGGAAAGAATGCTGTTGCCTTAAAGAAAGAAACTGGATTGTTCTCCAGCCCTGCTCTTTATGGTTGCTCAGTGACAGACTCCACCAAGCACGTGGATTGCGCCCCAATAGTAAATATAAGGTAAGTAATAAAAATATTATTAAAGAAGGAAAAAAAAATCCCCTTATTACTTGAGACATTTATTTCCCCCCCATCTCCACCCCGAATCTGGGTTTATTGTAAAGTTAAGTGAGATAATTCTGACCCTATAGAGGAATTGTTAATGGTAACAATTTTTCTTTAATCTACTTGTTTTGCAGCCTCAGGATATACTAAATTTAGTAACAATAAAAATAATAATTAAACTGTTACTCTGAAGTTGGCCCCAAACTAATCTCACCTATTCTCAAGTTAACCATTTGCAACTCCGCTGTGATGGAGGTCAAATTCAACATATCTCAGTGCCTGAATTATTTTAATTTCAGTTTAAAAAAATAGATTTGTTAATTAAATTTATACCGATCCTTTGCGGAGTTCCAGAGGCACTTCCAGAAACCTCCTGAAATGCACTACGTCCACAACCACGCACTATATTATTATTTTATTTTTTGCCGCGCCCCACGGCATGCGGGATCTTAGTTTCCCCACCAGGGATCGAACCCGCGGCCCCTGCATTGGGAGTGCTGAGTCTTAACCTCTGGATCTCCATGGAAATCCCCCAACCTCGCACTATAAAGCGCCCTACCCCCAACCTGAATCTTGAAACTTTCTCCCTA